CGAGTTACCCAACTTCACCTTGTTCTGCGACAACCAATCTGCAATTCACATCGCCAACAAGAGAGGATTCGCGAACAGAACGAAGCATATCGCCCTGCGATACTTCTTCGTGAAAGACGAAATCGAGAAAGGGAAACTCGATCTATCCTACTGTCCCACGTCCGAGATGGCAGCTGACTACTTGACCAAGAAACTTGGAAAACAGAAGTTCGAGTACTGCATGCTGCTGACTGGACTAAGCCACGTCACCATCAGCGACACTCCAGAAGCGAAGGGGAGTGTTGGGAACAAATAAGTTAAGCGCCTCTGTCGTGTCAGAACTCAAGACACAAAGCGAAGCAGCTCAAGTCGAAGCATCGCGAGTCAACCCTTGGTGGTTAACATAACCGTCGGAGGTTACGAGAAAGTCAAAGGGCAGCGACCTTTGACCTGACGCAGCGCGACAGCAAGGACAAACAACTGACTCGAAATTGAGCAGTTGCCCGAGTCGCACTGTATCGAACCGCAACAGTAAAAGTAGTTATAATGTTTCTTCATATTCTGTGTACTCATCTATTTATATTCTTGTATCTCTTTGCTTTAATCAACTTACTTTGCCCTCACATACCAGCGCAAGGTGGTTCAAAGACTTCACTTTCAATGCTTCCGCTATTACAACATCTACTCAGACTTAAACTCTACAAAGATCCTAGGGTATTTCAGCCCAACAAATACTTCATCGTTTTAGGTTAAAAGAAATTAACATAGTGTTCAAGTTTTTGAAGTAGTATCTGATTTGCTTTTGATGGGGACGCTTTACTTGCGTTTCCGCGATAATAATTTCCACCCTTTCAACGCATAGCCTTTCTGCGAAATAGTAGGAGCCATACCTTGGCGCAGTTAACGCATAATTGCGCGCCCCGCCCTCCTCTCTCCCTTGATCCCATCATTTTCATACTCCCACCGACGCACGTACGCCAGCGACGCGACAGGCTTCAGCAGTAGAGGTGTCACAAGGGACTGGGTGTGCGCGGCATTTCGCTGCGAAGCTCACTCGTCGACCCAACAATGATCGCGGCAAAGCACACCGCTGCCGCCGCGCGACTTCACCGTCGCTCTCGCCGCAACTGGCGGGCAGAGCCACGGCAAGCAACGTCACGGCGTCCATGGCGTGGCACGCTCGGTCATCGTGGTGCGCATAAAGGGAGGTGGTTCCGCCTTGAGAAAAGCATCATCTTTCGCTTTCCTCCACCACGCACACCAGGAGCAGCTCCAGATTAGGAGAGAAGAAGCTCATCGAGATTTGTGACTTGAAGCGTCCAGCCGCATCCATTCTGCTCGCCACGCGCTCCCAGCTGCGCGCAACCGTCGCCCCCAGCGTGCGTCGCACCAGCTCCTCGATTTCGCCCTCCCGCCGCCACCATGGCCCGCCCACGTGGCGCGCGCGCGCCCTCGCCGCTGCTGCTGCTCTTCCTCGCCACCCTGCTGCCGCTGCTCGCCGCGCCGGCCGCGTCGGTGATGGTGAGCGCTGCGGGCTCGTGGAGTGGCGGCAGCGATGATCCCATGGGCAGCGACCCGTCTCCCGCGGCGTGGACCACCGGCAGCGACGCGACCGGCCTTGTGACCGGCGGGCCGCGCATGACGCTCGAAGAGGGCGAGGGCGACGAGGGGGAGGAGATGGCGGACGGGTGGGCGCTGGGGGACGGCGGCTGGGGGGATGAGGAGGCGCAGGGGGAGGCGGACGTCGAGGAGCGCGCGGAGGGCAGGAGCCTGGCGGAGGAGGGCGCGGAGGAGGAGAGCGCGGCGGAAGAGATGGAGGGAGAGATGGCAGAGGGTGAGGGGGAAGGGGACGAGGAGGAGGAAGAGGGGCGCATGCTGGCTGAGGGCGACTGGGAGGAGGAAAGCGAGGCGAGCGAGGTGGGCGAGGAGGAGGAGGAGGAGAGCGAGGAAAGCGAGGAGAGCGAGGAGGGAAGGATGCTTGCAGAGGGAGAGGAGGAGGAGGATGAGGAGGTGGACGATGGCGAGGAGGAGGAGGAGGAGGAGATTGAGGGAGCGGAAGGCAGGATGCTGGTGGAGAGCGGAGACGTGGAGGAGGAGGAAGAGGCGGAGGGCGGGGAGATGGCGGGTGAGGAGGCGGATGAGGAGGAAGAGGGCAGAGTGCTGGCGGAAGTGGAGGACGAAGATGAGGAGATGGAGGGCGAGGATGTGGAGGAGGCGGAGGAGGAGGGGAGAGCTCTTGTGGAGGACAGCGAGAGCGAGGAGGAAGCAGGTGGAATGGATGGTGACGCGGACGAGGGGGGTGATGAGGCTGACGGACTTGAGTTGCCCAGGGAGCTTCAGGAGGAGGAGGAGGAGGAGGAGGAGGAGGAGGGGATGGAGAGTGACGAGGAGGAGGAGGTTGAGGATGAAGAGGGGGATGAGGAGGAAGGGATTGAGTTTCCACGCAAGCTGGCTGACGAGGATGAGAAGAAGGGCGAGGAGAAGAAGGAGAAGAAGGAGGAGAAGAAGTTGGGGGTGCTGAAGAGGACGGCGAATGTGATCAAGAGCTTCTTCAGGAACATTCGTGATCGCATCACTGGCAAGAACAAGAAGCCCGACAACAGCCCCCGCAAGGCAGGCCCCTCCGATGCCAAGGATGCCAAGGCCTAGGCTCTTTCACGAGGTGCATGGCGTGTGCACTTCCCAGCTCCATTGCTAGGAACGCCACAGTTACCGTCGATGGGAATAAGAAGCTATGACGGAAGATTGGAGGAGGGCAGTGGAAGTGCAGCTGATGGTACTGAAAGGTAGGCTTTTCTGAGTGGTTGAGGTTGTTTTCTTACGGTAGGTTTCCTGCATGTGGGCTGAAGGATGTGTGTCTTTGTGTGATTTGGTATTGTTGTTGGTTGCTCTGTTTCTTCATCTTATGCATGACAAAGTTGGATGTTCTGTTTCTTCATCTGAAGACCGTATATTTTCGAATGCTGAAGAACATGTCGCACCAGATCTTGCCCCGTGATGAACAGCATCTTGTCTTCTCTCGCCTGCTATGCATGTTTCCCCTGGTCTGCCTGCCCATCCCTTCAGTCCACTTTACTCGCTGCTCATGGTTCGTGTGTATTGCATCCTGCTTCTCTGTAGCATTGTAGATGTTGTCCCAATGTACGAACGCATATTGTCTCCTCGTGTATTGTGTGCCGCTTCTCGTGCACTCTTGTGTGCAACAGGGGCTGAACAAGGGACCGGCGGGGCGAGGAAAGGACTATGATGTAATAAGCATCCGCGCTTCTACGCACGTTCTTCTTACCTCCCTCGCATGTGCTACCCACGTTAAACTCTCTGTCCGTGCTCCCCAAACTCTCTTTCCACGTGCTTCCCACTCTCTTCTCTTTCCACGTTAATCTACTGAACAGGAATGAGTTTGACTAGGATGCCAAGGATGCTTCTCTTTCCTCGTACTTTCACTTACCAGCTCTTTCTCATGCTTCCCACTTTAGACTCTTTCCCCGTGCTTCCCACTTTAAACTCTTTCTTCGTGCTTCCCACTTTGAAATCTTTCTCCTAGAACCAACAATACCGTATGCCCACCCCAAATTCTGTCAATCTATAAGCGCACCCATTGAATTTTAGTGTTTTTTATAGTGAAATCGCCACTAACACGCCTAAAGCAATCGCCACTGACATGCCTTGCAAAATCCCGCCTTGCTCGCGTGACAAAATTGCCACAATAGCGCGCGTAAGACAAAATTAGCAACAGCTCAGCCAGTGCTGATAAGGATTGTTGCCAGTATGACGCATTCTCAGAAAGTTTCAGCAGAGACCCACTTTGTGTTAGCATTAGTTGAATCCGCAAGGGTTAAATCTATGTTCCAATGTTTTAAAATCAAGTTTCTATATGTGCCATTCAATTAGCCCATGTGCATACGAAATAACTCTATTTAATTTCCACCAAGCCCTTTTTTTAATATGCCCACCAGGGTGTATATCCGGGTGATGAAGGTATTAGTTTACTTTTTGCACTCTGTAAGCTCATTTATAAAAGGTGGGGTGAACCCTGAAATGGAAGAGTGCCCGAAAAGAGAGGCGTGCTCTAGAGACATCAACAAGAAACTCTCCGCATGCTACGGGGTCTGTCTAAACAGATACAGTTCAAACACCACCATTACAACAGCAGAACCTGGAAAGGCACCTGTAATGCGACATGCGTCTCGGCGGGAATTCAAACCAGCCAGCAACAACCAACCGCATCAACCCCACCAAATGCCACACCACAACCCACCACCTTCCCGTCCTCCCAAGATGCTCGCGTGTCTCTGTTCCCTCCCACCTGCGCTTATGCGCCCTGCCTCTTCCCCGTTCCACCACTTCTCTCCAAGTCGTGCTATGTCTTCCGCCTTCGTTACTGCTCTGACACCTTCGCAAGCCCTCCTAGCATGGTGTTTGTTGGTGCCTTTTTACGTTGCCATGAAATATTCTCAGCCAACCAGCAGCGTGAAATTCTCACCTTCCCCTACCTGGACTCGGCAGAAACTATTCCATCCAGGCACTTCGCTGGCAAGAACAGTAGTAGTGACTTGGTTGTACCACCAAAACCCCTCGTCACGCCTCCCCCTGTTGTCGCCTGGGATTGCAAGCGCGCCGCAATATCAACCGCTACTATGGCTGTTCATTCCCGCGAAGGGCGCCTGGTCAGCACGCGCGTCGTACTCCGCGCGCACCCCTTCCGCCAATCTACTTCTGCTAAGCCCTCCTCCGCCTTAGACGTTCCTAGCCTCCCGTCAACGAAGTCAACGCTCCGAACGTGGGGAGACCCTGATCATGCCGCTACTACTCAACGTCACTTACCACCTACTACGTACCATTATTTACGCGGACCTCCTCCCAAGCTCGCCCACAAAATCCGTGCAACAACGCCCGGCATTATTACTTGTTATACAAGCCGCGATAGTAGTAGTGTAGTACTTTCCCTTTCCCAAGATTAATCTCCCATCCTTATTAGCACACTCCCATTCCTTCGCATACTCCCATTCTCACACGCCATCATGACGTTATTCCCGCGCGCCTCCCCCCTCATCCTCTCACGCATAACCCTCATCGCCCTCCTCGCGCGCATCGCCCTCCTCCGCCCCGCGGAAGCCGACACCGAGCTGCCGCCGAACCCCGAAGGGTGCGTCATGAAGATGACGGACAGCGACCAGGAAGCCATGCGCGCGGTCTACGCGGCGCTGCCCCGGCGGATGTTCTTCTGGCACGACAGCGTATCGCCGAGCGAGCTGTTCGACAGGGGCGGCAACCTCACCTACAAGTGTTGCGTCACGCCCAGACCCCCGTCGTGCCACCTCTGGTGCCCCATCGAGTGCACGCCCGCCGGCCGCATCACCGGCATCTACTCCGAACCCAGTCTCTATGACATGCCCGGGCCCGCCGGGATACATGGAGGGAGCTGTCCGCCCGGCGCGCTGTCGCCCGCCATTGGCGACCTCGCGGAGCTCTCCTCGCTGAAGTTGCGCCACTCGTGCCTCGCCGGCGACCTGCCGGATTCCGTCACGCGCCTCCAGAAGCTGACGGAACTCGACATGCCCGATAACAGCTTCTCCGGCCCCATCACGCCCGGGCTCTTCCGCCTGCCCGCACTCCGCCACGTGGATCTGAGCACCACCATTGGCGGCGGCCTTTCAGGGCCCCTTCCCGACGGGCCCGACGCGTACTCCCCATCCCTGGAAACGGTTCGCCTTTCCGCGAACCCCATCTCAGGAGAGCTTCCGCGCGCGCTTTTCCGCGCGCCTGCGCTGCGCGAGTTGCGCCTCGAGGCCAACAACCTCACGGGGGAGCTCCCGGGGGAAGCGGGGGCGTACTCGCGGAGCATCGTCGAGCTCTCCCTGCGCAGCAACGGCCTGACCGGCGGCATTCCGACCGCGCTGGCGGAGATGACGGCGCTGAGGGAGCTCGACCTGGGGGACAACGGCCTGTCCGGGTCCATCCCACCCGCCATCGCCACTCTCTCGCCGCTCACACGCCTCGCGCTCGACCAGAACCGATTGACCGGCGACATCGGCGCGCTAGTCCCTGCCGCTGCTGCCTCCGCTACTCCTGACGCTGCTGCGTCTGCTGGTCTCCGCGCGGCGTTCCCCCAGCTCAAATTTCTGAACGTCAGCAGCAACCAGCTCTCCGGCGACGCCGCCGCGCTCGCGCCTTTCCCGTGGGGCCTGGACCACCTGAACGCGTCGCGCAACAACCTCACGTGCAGCGCCGGCAGCAGCTTCGGTGCGACCGTTGTGGACCTCTCGCACAACCGCATCGCCGGCGCGTTGGCGGAAGTCATGCGCAACGTTGGCGCGAGCGTGCTGATTCTGGCGCACAACGAGCTGTCGGGGAGCGTCCCCGCGGACCTGCTTTCCGCCGTGCGCGACGAGCTCGACCTCTCGCACAACCTGCTCTCCGGCGCGCTCTCCCTCTGCGGCCCCGGCACGCGCATCGACCTCTCGCACAACCTGCTCTCCGGCACCCTTCCCTCCCTCTGTGGCCCCAGCCACCCGTACAACTGCAGCACGGACATCGACCTTTCGTACAACAACCTCACGGGCGAGCTCCCGCGCGACGCGGACGCGTACCAGGTCAACATCGGGTCGCTCTCGCTGCGCGCCAACGACCTGTCCGGCGCGATTCCGCCCGCGCTGGCGGAGGCGACGCACTGGCTGACGCACCTGGACCTCGGGGAGAACCGCCTGTCGGGCTCGCCCACGGCGCTCGCGTCGCTGCGCCAGCTGGACGTGGTGCGCCTCGACGGCAACGCGCTGAGCGGGCCGTTCTGCGACGCGCTGCTGCCGGCGCGCGAGCTCTATCTTGGCTTCAACGCCTTTGGCGGCGGCGGCAGCGGCGGCGGTGGGGAGGAGGAGGGGGGCCAGGGGGAGGGCGATCTGCACGGGTGCGTGATACCGGCGCAGGTGAAGGTGCTGAGCGCGCCGCACGCGGGGCTGAGAGGGAGCGTTCCCGACGACCTGTTTCTACGAATGGACGAGCAGATGGGGCGCGTTGCCTTGGGCTCGCAAACGCATAGCCTGCACGTGAACCTCAGCCACAACAGCCTCACGGGCAGCCTGAAAGCCTTCTCCGTGATCCGCAACGGGAGCCTGGACCTGTCGCACAACAATTTCACGGGCAGCATTCCGGACGGGTTGTTCCGCCTGGCGAGCACGGGGGGGCTGGAGCGCGGGGCGAGCGGGAGCGCGGAGAGCAGGTGGGGGCTGGAGCGAGAGCGAGTGGTGGTGGACGTGCAGAGCAACGAGCTGTCGGGGCCGCTGTTTGACACGCGCAGGCCCGCCGGCGAGTGGCCGTCCTACTGGAACAAGCTGCGTGTGAGCGGCAACAGCGCTGCCATGAAGGGCGCCGTGGGCGCGGGGTACCTCCCCGCGCCGTCGCCTGGCGTGCAGGCGTCCGCTGCTGAGACTGCTGCTCTGCTGGCCGTGCGCGATGCGCTCCTGGGGGGAGCAGCGGGGGGAGCAGGTGGGGCAGCAGAGGCGGTAGCACTGGTAAATGGCGGAAACAGCTCGTGGGCGGCGATACTTAGCAGCTGGGATGCGAGCAGCAGCAGCAGCAGCAGCAGTGCGTGTGAGTGGTACGGCGTGGGGTGCACAGCAGACGGGCACGTGCACACGCTGCACCTGCTGGGGGACGCCACGGTCGCACTGCACCCAAACGTGGTTCCGGACATGCCTGACTGCGAGCCAGGCCAGCACGGGGAGATGTCATGCACCTTCGAGCCCCCGCCGCCTCCCCGCACCGCGTGGTTCTTCCTGCAGGGCCTGCGTGGGGGAAGCGGGAGGGGCAGCGAGAGTGCGAGTGCGAGGGGGAGTCTTTCGGAGGCGTTGGGGCAGCTGACGCACCTCACCTCGCTGCGCATCTCCGGGCACGCCCTCTCCGGCGGCCTGCCACCGTCCCTCTCACGCCTCTCTCACCTCGTCACTCTCGACCTCTCCTCCAACCGCCACCTCTCAGGCTCCATCCCCCCCGCCCTCTTCGCCCTCCCCTCGCTGCGAGAGCTCTCCCTCCGCGGGAACAACCTCACGGGAGCAGCCCTCCCAAGCACCACTTCAGCAGCGGCAGCGCTGGCAATGGCGAGTTTGGAGAGTCTAGACGTGGGGGGGAATGCTCTGTCGGGGTCCATAGCAGCGCGGGTGAGTCTTCTGGCGGGGCTGACGCGCCTGGCGCTGGACCACAACCGGCTGGACGGCAGCTTGCCAAGGGAGCTCGGCGCGCTCTGGATGCTCCGAGACCTGCACCTGCAGGGGAACGCTTTCCAGGGCGGGCTCCTTGACCTCGCCACTGCCATCGATGCACCTGCCAGCGCTGCTGCTGCTGCTGCCGCTGTTACAGCGGGAGTTGTGCCGTCGTCCCAACCACGTAATGGGCGGAGCCTGACCAAAGTGTTCCCACTGCTCGACTCCCTGGACGTGAGCAGCAACCAGCTCTCGGGCGATGCCAGCGTGCTCTTCGTCCCGTGGAACGAACACTACAGAGATTACGAGCTCGAGCACCACTCCCCGCGCATGCGCTACCTGAACGCGTCGCACAACAACCTCACTTCAGAATCCGTGCTGACCGTGCAAATGATTGCATCCGTGGTGGACCTCTCCCACAACCAGATCCGCGGATGGCTGCGTGGCATAATTCACATGGCCTATTGGCTTAATGCGATGGATGTGCTGCGCCTATCACACAACCAGCTGTCGGGGTATGTGCCCATTTGGCTGCTGAAAGCAGTGGGCGGAGAGCTGGACCTCTCCCACAACCTCCTCACCGGCACGCTGGACGACATACTTGACACTTATTTTCGGGATCATGCGATGATGGATGTGCTGCGCCTGTCGCACAACCAGCTGTCGGGGAATGTGACCTCGTATCTGCTGAGCTCGGTGGGTAGAGAGCTGGACCTCTCCCACAACCTGCTCTCCGGCACGCTGGCGGCGCTGAATCCCGCAATGACCGCCATCAACCTCTCCCACAACAACTTCTCTGGCGCCATCCCGCCTCTCCATGGTGCCCTGGAGTCATGTGACTTGTCGCACAACCAGCTGGAAGGGGCAGTCCCCCCGCTGGGACCGAAAGTGGCGCACGTGAACGTGAGCTGGAATAGCCTGACTGGGCTCAACGCGTCAGTGCTTCTCCAGGATGCGAGTGCACTGCGCAGCCTGGACGTGTCCCATAACGCCATCACCGGGGAGCTGCCCGCTGTGGGTGAGAGCAGCAGCAGCAGCAGCAGTGGGGTCACGGGCCTCACGTATCTCGACCTCTCCTTCAACTCCTTCTCCGGCGCCCTTGCACAACACCACCTTCCTTTCCCAACCACAGCCGCATGCAGTGCTATGCAGAGCGGTGCGGAGGTGCGGCTGAGCCACAATGCACTGACTGGGAGCATCCCGGATGCTGTCTTCTCCCCATGCCTCTCCCTGTTGGACCTCTCCCACAACCACCTCTCCGGCCCCATCCCAGACCCTCTCAAGGCCAACAACCAGAGCGCCTCCCATCCCGCTCTTTCCCACTTGGACCTCTCGTCCAACCAGCTCACAGGACCCATCCCCGATGCTCTCATTACCAGCCTCACAGGTCTAACTCACCTGAGCCTCTCCCACAACCAGCTCTCTGGCTCCCTCCTGCCTGTGGCTGCCTGCTCTCGCTGCACTCACATGGATCTCTCCCACAACCTGCTCACCGGCACGCTGCCGGCGCTAAATCCCGCAATGACCACTGTCAAACTCTCCCACAACCAGCTCTCTGGATCCCTCCTGCCTGTGGCTCCCTGCTCTCGCTGTACTCACGTGGACCTCTCTTACAACCTCCTCTCCGGTGCCATTCCCCCCCTCCTCGCCTCCTCGACCTCCCCTCTTGCCCACCTCAACCTCCACAGCAACCAGCTCTCGGGTTCACTGCCGCGCTCGCTCACCCTGGCCCCCATGCTCACCCATCTGGACCTCTCACGCAACAAGCTCAAAGGCTCCCTGCCTGCCTTCTGCCAGGGCAAGCAGCGCCTTGCCTCTCTCCTCCTCTCCTCCAACGCTTTCTCCGGCCCCCTCTCCTCCCTCCTCCCCTCCTCCTCCTCCTGCGCCTCCTCCCTCCTCTCCCTCAACGTCTCCACCAACCAGCTCTCCGGCTCGCTCCCCTCGTCCCTCTCTCGCTTCACCGCTCTGCACTCCTTGCAGACGGCACGCAACCGCATGAGCGGCAGCATCTCTGCAGGGCTGGCGTCCCTGAAGGCCCTGCAGGAGCTAGACGTGTCGTGGAGCGGGCTGTCAGGCACCATCCCTGCACGCCTGCGTGTTGCTGCCCCCTCCCTGCAAGTGCACCTCGCTGGCAACGCCCTCTCAGGCTCCGTCCCCTCCTCCCTCTCCGACCTGCCAGTTTCCTGCTTCCACCCCGGCAACCCCAAGCTCTGTGGGAAACCCCTGCCGGACTGCAAGAAGAGCTCTACCAAGCCCAGGAAGGGCCGGGTGTAGGAACTGGTGGCAGGAGGGAAGGGAAAACGCCCCAGTCTCTGACCTTAAGAGTGATTCCTGTTGTTGTACTCATGCCTGTGAAAATATTCTAACGACTTTGGTTGAGGATTTCCCCACACAGTGCTTGCTACTTCTGCAGTACCGCATTCCCCCGTCCAAAGGACCCCTCTCCCCTCCCCCCCCAAAGAAAGAAGGTCCCTCGGGGATGTTGGGCTGAAAAGCCCTAAGGATCTTTGTAGAGTTAAAGTCTGGGTAGGATTGTAATAGCGGAAGCGTTGAATAAAAGTCTTGAACCACCTTGCGCTAGTATGTGAGGGCAAAGTAAGTTATTTAAAACAAGCAAATACAAGGCTTTATATAAGAGTACAAGGAATACAAATAGATATAATAACTGTCTTGCTGTTGCGATTCGATACAGTGCGACTCGGGCAACTGCTCAATGTCGAGTCAGTTGTGTGTCCTTGCTGTCGCACTGTATTGGTCAAGTCAAAGGTCGCTGACCTTTGACCTTCGCGTAACCTCCAGGCGGTTACCCTAACCTCCGAGGGTTGACTCGCGATGCTTCGATTCGGACTGCTTCGTTTTTGTGTCCTGAGTTTCGACACGACAGAGGCGCTTAAGACTTATTGTTCCCAACACTCCCCTTCGCTTCTTGAGTGTTGTTGATGGTGACGTGGCCTTGTCCAGTTAGCAGCATGCAGTACTCGAACTTCTGTTTTCCGAGCTTCTTGGTCAAATAGTCGGCTGCCATCTCGGACGTGGGACAGTAGGATAACTCGAGTTTTCCTTTCTCGATCTCGTCCTTCACGAAGAAGTATCGCAGAGCGATATGCTTCGTTCTGTTCGCGAATCCGCTTTTGTTGGCGATGCGAATTGCAGATTGGTTGTCGCAGAACAGGGTGAAGTTGGGTAACTCAGCTAACTTCGCTTCTTCCAGCAGTTCGCGAAGGTAGAGTCCTTCCTTGGTGGCTGAGCAGAGGGCGATATATTCTGCTTCAGCTGAAGAGAGAGCGATTAGTTCCTGCTTACTCGACTGCCAGGAGATAGGTCCGATAGGCTCAAGACGATAGACGTAGCCAGTGCGAGAGCGCCTGTTATCTGGATCGCCGGCATGGTCGGCATCGACATAGCCGATTAGTTTTGTTGACGCAGCTTCGTTCTTGTAGTAAGTCAGGCCAATCGTCGGCGTGCTCACGAGATAGTGCAGTGCGCGATCGAGCTCTGCCAGGTGATCTGCTTCAGGCCTCTTGAGGTAGGTAGCGAGTTGGCTAGCGGAGTAGGACAGGTCTGGGCGACAGGTGACGGCTGCGAAGAGCAGACAGCCCAGTTTTCGCTGGTAGTCGCGTATTCCGGCAGCTTTGAGTGGAGCGGGGTTTCCTTTGTCACTTCCTGCCGTGTAACGGTATGGTGTGGCGATAGCGGTAGGTGTGAGCGAGAAGCGCTTGGCGATCATGTCGGCGTATTTCTCGGCGCTTAGATAGATTGCGTTTTCTTCTTCGCGAATGTTGAGCCCGAGGTACTGCGTGACGGTAGAAGAAATCGTGAGCGTGAGGTCTTTCTGCAGCTCCCCTTCGAACCAGGTGGTGACGTTGTCGGTGGAGCCGATGTAGAGGAGATCGTCGACGTAGACGATTAGTAGGATGTAGTTGGCGCCTTTAGTGAGTCGGTACATGCCTTGGTCATGAGGCAGTTGGCGGAATCCGATGCGGATGAGGCGGGTGTGCAGGTGCTGTTGCCACAGCCGTGGGGCCTGCTTGATTCCGTAGAGAGACTTTAGCAGCTGGCAGACCTGATTGGGTTCCCTGTGGGTGCCGTGAGGGAGCTCGACGAAGATGTCAGCGTTGACAGGCGCGTAGAGGAAGGCGTTGGCGACATCAATTTGTCGCAGCTTCTTCTTCTTCATGGCGGCGACAGCGAGAAGGATTCGGAGAGAGGTATGTCGACTGACTGGGGCGAATGTTTCTGTGAAGTCCCGGCCCTGTTCCTGATCAAATCCTCGCACGACCCATCGTGCCTTGAACTTCTCAATTGTACCATCTGCTTTCGTTTTGATACGGAAGACCCACTTCCCGGTGAGAATGGTCCTGTTTCTCGCTATGCTTGCTGGAACGATCTTCCAGGTGTTGCGTTCCTCCAATGCCTTTAGCTCTCTGTCCATGGCTTCACGCCATTTCTCTCTGTGTTCCCCCCCCAGAGCCTGCTGAACCGTTGCAGGCTCTTTAGGAAGAGGGGAGCCATGGACGGCGGTGACGAGGCCGAGGATTTGCAGTCCGGTCTGTGAGTAGCGGGGGAGTGTTGTGTCCTCGGGATAAGCTGCTTCGTCTCCCGCTTCTGGGTTGGGTGTGAAATTTGGCCCTATCCTTTCTGCTTCGTTGGTGTTGGCTGTTGCAGGTGTTACGTAACCATTGTCGGCGAAGTGATAGAAGACTTCGGCGTTGTTACTTTCGCGAGGATTTTCTTCGTCCATGGGCACGTCGACGAAGCAGAACAGAAGAGGTTCGGCCTCCTTCGATGCGTTGTCAACGTTTTGTTCATTCCAGTCTGCTTCGTCCGCTGCTGAGGCGAAGGCTCGGTCACCACGAAAGCCACCGGTGGGGTCCTGATTCTCGTGCAAGTTGGCGAGGTACGTCTGAAGGGTGAGTCGTTTGTAGAAGAGTACATCACGTGCTGCTACTGTTTCCTTTGAGTGGACGTCGAAGATTTTCCATGCGTTGTAATTTTTCTCGATGCCGAGGTGTAGTCCCCACTGTGCCCGTTGTGAAAATCTTCCCGCGCGTGCTTCTGGGGGTCGGTACTGTACCATGCACCCGAAAACTCGTAACATTTTTGTGCTGCCCTGCTTCCCTGTCCACAGCAGATGCGGTGATGCGTTGTTCGGGAGTGACGACGACGACAGCAGGTTGTGCAGCATGACAGCATGGTCCATTGCTGCAGGCCACTGGTGGTTGGGTAGCCGCATGCCACGTAACAGTTTGCGCACGCTGTTCTGCAGAGTCCTGTTCATTCGTTCTGCAACACCTTGCTGCTGATGTGCGTAGGGAAGGGAGAGGAGTTGCTTGATTCCTCTTTCCGCCAGGTACTGCTTGAAGCGTTGAGAGGTGTACTCTCCCCCTCCGTCTAACTAGAAGCTTTTCAGTTTTGCTCCCGATTCCCTCTCTGCTACCGGTAGCCAAGTGGCGAACGCTGCGAGAGTCATGTCGCGGCTTGGTAGGTTTAGGTGCCAGACATATCGGGTGGCGGCGTCGATGAAGGTTATGGTGTAATTGTAGGTGACTTGTCCTGGTTCGCGATTGTAGAGGATGTTGCTGTAAACCTTCTCGAGTGGTGCGTACACCGGTGCGCTCGGGTTGTGATGAGAAGCGAACAGTCGGTGAGGTAAGTCAGCTTCAGGGCATGTAAGGCAAGTCCCTCGTGCCTTTTGAAGTTCTGTGCCGTCTGGTAGTAGTAGGGAGTCTTTGTCGAGAACTCCTGCTCTTATCGTGTTATTTAAAGCTGTGTTGCTTGGATGTCCCAATCGTGCGTGCCAGGTTTCTTCAGAGGCGCGATGTCCGGGTGAGCGTCGATACGTGTCGGAGTTGGAGTAGAAGCTGGCAACGAGGTTGGCGCTTCTGTGGACTTCTCGTTGAGTCGGGTTCAGCTGCTGTGCGGGTGTTGGTGGAGCTTCGTCGATGATGCCTGGTGTAGTTTGTCTTGCTGCTGCTGCCGATGATGTTTCTGCTGCTGCCGATGATGTTTCTCCTGCTGCCGATGTTGTCTCTGCTGCTGCCGATGATGTTTCTGCTGCTGCCGATGTTGTTTCTGCTGCTGCCGATGTTGTCTCTGCTGCTGCCGATTGTCGAATTGTTGCTAACGCTCGTGTTCATTCTGCTTCAGGAATGGTGTGTGAGTACCAAAAACCTCCCGGGCTGAAGTCGGGATCGAGATCCGGGGGATGCGTCCAATCGGCGAAGTTGACGATGGCGTCGCTGTCGGCAGTGCCCAGGTCGGGAACAAAATCGAGGACGAAGACATTGTTTTTCAACTCCGCCTTTCCGATGTAGAGGCCGCCCTTCCCGTAGTACAACTTAAACTCCTGGGTGGTGCTGTCGGCTTCCAAGTGTATTCCTTTCGCCATCAGCAGGCTGACACTCAGTAAGTTATAGCCGAGTCCCTCCGCGATAAGTACCTTTGACATGTGTAGTATGACGTTTGTTTCTCGTGACTGAAGCTGTACCACTCCTTGTCTTCGTGTGCGTAGGTTCTGATTGTTGGCGACCGTGATGAATACTTCTCGCTGGAGTTGATGCTCGCGTTGAACGAAGCGCCCGGAGGAGCACATATGTTGTCTGCAGCAACTGTCCAAGAACCAAGTGTCTTAGCCGGACGGTTCACTTTGAGCGATGGCGGCGTACGTTGGGTTCGGTTGAAGAGATTCGCGGCGAGGCGTACTGTTGTCAAGTTGTTCTTCGGGTGAGTAGTACGGTGGTGACTCTGTTGTGCAGGAGTCGTTTATCTTGACCATGCAATTGACAATATTTCTTGCTCCTTGTGCAGGTTGTCCAGTTGAAGTCGCTGAAGCTTGGAGTGCGGTCGTCGGAGTTGCTTGCGTTGAAGCAACTTGGGAACTTGAAGGCCGGAGTTGTCGCTGTGGTGTCGTCGACTGCTGACAAGATGGGCAGAGCGTGCGAGGATGACCCGAGGTCTTGCAGATGTGACAGAACGGAGGTACCGTCTTCATTTGTTGCTATTGTCGATTGTTGTTGCTGTTGTATCGTCGCTGAGTGTGAAACGCAAACTCCGGTGCTAATCATTTCTTCTTGTGCCTTTCTTCTTGCAGGTCCATATCCTGCTGCTCGGCATGGATTTCGGCGCAAAGTGCCGCTTCGGAGATCCTCCCGTGTGCTCGTAATATGGCGTGAGTGGAGCGCCAGTGGGGGCCGAGACCGCCAATGACCACCGTGACAAAGACGTCTTCTGAGATTGACCCTTCGCATCGAAGAAGCTTGTCGCGCAGTTCGCGGCAGCGGCTGATATAAGCCATGCCTTTCTCGCCTGGTTTCATTTCAATCGTTGTCAACTGCGCCATTAACCTGCTTTGATTTACGCTGTCTGTTGCTTAATACAGGTTCTTCAGGTGGTTGTACGCGAGCTCCGCGGAGTTGCCGTAGCCTTGGTAAGTCCTGATGTTCTGCTGCTGGGTCGGGGTGATGTTTCTTAGCAGTATCGTGTACGCCATCA